CAGCAGAAGATGTCAATATCATGTTTTAACGACTATTTTTTTAATCGTTGTTGCCATTATATAAAATTGATTATATTTCTGCAAAGTTATTCTGGCCAGGTTGTGAAGATAGACCAGACTAAAGTATAATAAAGATGTATTATGAACCATCCATCACCACCTCCAGGCTGTTGTGGAATGCCAACTACATTGTAGGCGATAGCTTTTGTTTTATAAATTAAATACAACTTAATCCATAACAACATTATTTATTAATTGAAATACATCTAACAAATAATAAACATTTTCAATGTTTTTCTAAGGCTTTCACTAGAAGGTCATTAATATGATTGACTAAATTTCTTGGATCCATAACCAGTCCTGCAGTCACCATGGCATTTGAGAAGAGCTGCTGGGACACCATATTGGCTAATTCTTTGTCGCTGGATACGAGTTTGTGTAACTTCTTTATTATGGGATGTCTGCAAAGGAAAAAAAGTCAATAATTAAAAAGTGTTTTAATGAGTGGTTTACATTATGCTGGCCTGGTATTGACTAAGTGGGCCAGCTGCATTCCAGCGCTTTTGTAGTGGCATAATGTAAACCAGGCATTAAGGATATAGAACCTTTTAAATTTTTATTTCAAACAAAATCTGAAATGTCTTACTTTGCATTTATTTCTAATTGTGGTCTTAAAAGAGCGAATCTATTTTCTTCGCTGAGGTTTTGCGCCTGTGTTCTTATGAAATGTCGAGCGGCAGCCATCTCTGGTATTACAATGACGCACGGATGTGTGTCCAGCTTTTGCGTTGTGCGCACTTCAAATACTTTGCCATTCAAGTTTGTTTTTAAAAACGATATTAAGTCGTTCACTTCGTTTTGTTGCAGGTCATCACTACCTAAAAGAGAAAATAAATAATTAAAATAGAGAATTCCACTTACTGTCAACCCTCCACCGGTGTTAATCTTACCTATGACTGTTTCACTTTTATCAGTAGATTCTTTTTGCATATCATTTTCAACTGAGATCAAAGAGCGTCGACCAAATTCTTTAAGTTCTAGGAGAACCAGTTCATCATACATTTCATAACAGAACAACACTTCAAGGTCACGTTTTTTAAGAGATTCGTAGTAGGGCGATGTTTCGGCGAGTTGGCGACTGCAAAAATGAGTGGAGATATAATTTTTTTAAATCATATAAAGCCACCGTTTGACCACAATCCCACCTGTTAAGTGGTGATATGTTAACATTGTAATATTAACATCTTTTGCATCTAAAAACCCTCTATTGATTATAATAATGTGAAGAACTACACAAGTTTTCTTTTGTTTTCATAGTACTTTTTATTGTGGTTAAATTTAAAATGTAATTAACTCCTCACCTGGGTGCAGCTAAATAATAAATAGATTTTTGATCATCCTTTTGCCTCGCACAATAATCGGCTAGAGATGTCTTAACTCCTGCCTCTAATTTGGATGATTCAAATCGTAGCATTTTTGCAATTTCTTCCTATATATTTAAAAAAAATGTTTTATATAATTTAGTAAATAGTTAGTTAAAAAAATTATTTAAGCAATTATACTATGTATTAAATTGTTTAATATTTCACGCATTCACAGGAAACAACTTGCCCTAGAAGTTCATTTTGGAACTAGAAAATCATAATGGCATTGAAAGTGTTCATCATCATCATCAGCTCACTATACGTCCCCACTGAGGGGCTTGGAGCCTACCCTAAGTTAAGGGTGATTAGGCTATAGTCAACCACGCAGGCCAAGTGCGGGCTGGTTGACTTCACACATATCTTTGAATTTCTTCTCAGATATGTGCAGGTTGAATCATGATGTTTTCCATCACCGTAAGAACGTCGGATAAATGTACATATGTAGGCAGGATTCGAACCCAGGAACTGCAGATTGCAAATCAATTGCTTGATCACTGAGCAAACGACGCTCCGTGAAAGTGTTAAGTATAAACAATTAAAGTAAATGTAATACTAGTTTTAACCTTTTCTAAAGGACTCTGACTGGTGACAATTCCCTCTTTCAAGAACAACGAGTAATCCTTGTAGAATGCATCAAACCCGACTGGATCTTTTTGAGCCATTTCACACATGAACTTTATAAACCGATTCGTCAAAACTGTTCGCAATTTTCTGAAAGTATAATTGTAAATTCAATGCCATTGATTAACCGTTTTGTTAAATGAAACAAATAAATTAGTGTAATTTTTTATCTGAATTATTGTAATTTCTTTTTAAAGTTATATTAAATATATGAATTTATACCAGAGAAATATAAAAAAAAAATTATAACTACATACTTACACAATTAAAGCACTATTCTGTAATAGCTCTCTGCTTAAGTTAAGTGGTATATCCTCAGAATCAACAACACCTGCAATATTTATGAATTTGCTTTTAAAAATATTTCAAACTTGTAATCCACAGAAATAAGCAGTTACATCACACAGAAGACTATTTATTAAATTTTTGAACTTGGCAGCAATTGTATTATTTTGTATATAGTAAAACAGTAGTTATCGTCCGCGAATGTGTTTTATATGTGTACCAAATTTCATTGAAATCCGTTCACTCGTTCTGGAGATATCTTCAAAACAAATATCCATCCATACATTCATCTATCTTAACTTTTATTTTTATTAACTTACCTTTAACAAATCTTAACCATTTGGGCAGAATATTATCAGCTTTGCTTTTAATCAATATTTTCCTAGAGTACAGGGAAACACCGACATCAGAATCCCTGGACATCTCAAACAGTCCTGGTTTTCCTTCAGGAACATAAAGAATGGACCGAATGCTGATGGGGGCATCAGTTTTGTAATGCAATGTGAAGCGTGGCTTATCATATGAGTTGCTGATAAATCTATAAAATTCGACATGTTGTTCATGTGTAACTTCTTTTGGTTCCATTAACCATACTGGCTGAAAAGGTTTTAAAAACATTATTTACTTTTGAAATATTTAATGTTACTAGAAGTCAATCCTTTGCATATAACATACATACCTTTATTGAGTTGATTTGTTCATTATTTAACAAAATTGGGCTTCCAATGAAATTACTGTATTTCTTGATTATGTCTGAAAAATTTAAATTTATAACATTCCATTGAATAAAAATGTCCTTTCAAAGTTTAGTTTTAAATTTATAAACATAACTATAATGTTATAATGATATAGTTTTCACCTTTAACTCTTTCATCATCAGCAAACTCCCTGCAATCTGTTTTAAGATAGACTGTTATTTTAGTTCCAATTGGTACATCATCCACTTCTTGAATTTCATATGTTCCGGACCTATAAAATAAAATGTACACTTATGATGAATTGATATTACATAATATGAATAGGTAAAGTTTAGATTTGAGATTTTTTTTAACACAATATAATTTTTCTTTTAGTCTTATGTCTGACTCACTTTGAGAAATAAACATTTTTAATATGTCTATGGTTAAGACTTTGAAATGGATGAAGATGTGAAACAAAACATACCCATCAGAATTCCATTTCAATCCTGTTGATCCAGACTTACTGCTCCTTGTGTAAACTTCAATTTTATCAGCTACCATAAAGGCCGAGTAAAAACCTACACCAAACTGGCCTATTATTGTATTAGCTTGTTCTGCACCTTGTTTCTTTATCTCTTCTATGAAAGACTTGGAGCCAGATCGAGCTATGGTACCTAAATTTTGTATCAATTCATCTTTAGTCATACCTATACCATTATCCTGAAATAAAATAAAACTCATATTAATAAATACTGACAACAATGATGGATTCTCCACAATAGCTAACAAACATAATTAAAAGCAATCTAGAGGCATTTGTATTTTTCTACATGTAAGTTTTTATCAATACTTTTATTTGATAAATAACAGAATATTAAAAAAATACAAATGTTTCATTGCTAATTATCATGCTATAAGCCTCTAGCTAAAATTAAAAACCTATTGTACCTGGAATGTAATAGTTCTATTTTGTTTGTCTGTGATGAGTTTAATTTCCAATGCTCTATCTATGTTGTCCAGCTGCGAGGTACCCTCTGCACCACTTACACTTAAATAACGGAACTTCTCCAGTGCATCACTTGCATTGGATATCAGCTCCCTAATGAATACCTATAAAACAAAGTAATGGTATTTATAACTCATAATAATTAGTTCACTAAATGCAAGTAAAAGATTTAAATTACTTACTTCTTTATCAGAATATAAAGACCTTGCTACAATATCAAGTAACATGCGCGTTTCTGCTTGAAATTCTTTCTTTTCCGGATTAGATTTTAAAACTTCAGCTTTCTGCTGATCAGACACAGTACTAAATTTTGCCGATTGAAGAGAAAATAACTCTAAAATTATAAAATTATTATGTAGAAAAAGAGATATCATATATCACAAAACAAATAAATTTCAAACAAACCTGGTTGAGTTCTTAAAATAGTAATCCGATTAATATAATTTGCATTACTTCTCGATTGAAAAAATAACCTCTTAGAGCATTGTATTGAAAAACTTGATCTCGCCCGTAATGCTGACATTGTTTATCTTAAAATATATTTAAAGAACCCTTTATACCGCTTTTTATGTTGTTTTGAAAATAATATTCGCTTTTTCTTGTAAAATATTTGAATTCAATTACTTTCTGTTTAGATATTGATAAACGAACGAGAAACAAAGTTTACAGAATACGGAACTGTCAATGTCAATTTTAAATATCGCAAAAATTTACAAAGAAAATGGTTACAGTAAAAATTAGGTGAAGAAAATGGTTTATTTTCGTGTCTTCTGCTGCTAAATTGGTAACAACGAGGTTCTATTGTGATAAACAGAAAATATGTAATTTTTGGGTTAAATTATGCACCTACAGTTTATACATGACAAAATGTAGGTTATGGCAAAAAGCCTGGTATCCGTTAAAAATCTTCACGTCAAACAAACGGAAAACCAAGCGTCAAGTCAAGCGTCGTTGATCCACTATACGTCAGTTTAGTCAGTTCAGTTGATGTTTGAGGACATGTTTGGTTTGGACGTTTTGATTAATACAGAATTGTTTGTGGGAGATTAGTAAATAAATAACAGTTTTTAATTTTCTTTTATACTTTTACTTTGATTTCAACTTTATTTATCTCCGTTTGAAGTTAAACCAAAGAAAAATATGTTATCTGCAGTGTGATTTCATAACTTTTACAGTTCCAAAACATTTTAAGTGGCTGTATTAAAAGTTTTGAATTGTAAACGTAACCTGTGGGTAAAATACCTTGTGTGTCATGTACTGTGAAATCTAATATAAACGCTACTACAGTTTTAGAGATTTAGAGTGGTCAAGATTTGCGCAGAGTGTCAATATGAAAGACGTGCTTAAGGTGTTCAGGACGAACTGTTATTTTCTTATAGTGCTATCGCATGTGCGTTGCAGCACTTGAATCAGTAGAATAGTGTTATAAGACTGAGAATGAGGGATCAAAGGTGAAGGAGCGTCAGTAGTCACCGTGGAGCACCTGGTGGGAGGCGGTGGCGCGGGCGGGCTGCTGCCCGGCGCCTCGCCCGCCCAGCATCCGCCGAACATGCTTCAGCCCATGGAAGAGATGATCTTACCACCCAAACGACAAGCTGTTGTAGACCGCCTCCGGTAAGTCAGACAATTCAATAAAATAAACTGTATGTCTAAACCTACTGGCATTGGTAATTCTGTGATATAATTCCTGTTTATCATTTTAGCTGATTCTGAATCAAGTAAAGGATACATTATTTATATTAATTACCAAAATAATGTAAACTGTGGAGGACCTATGTTTTCTATATATTTGGAAGAAGCAATAGTGATTTACCAAAATTATGCTAAATGGAAATCTATAATCTATGTCTACCTCTATTTGACTTCTCGATAGGTTTGGGTAAAATAAAGTCAGATACATGGTAAGATGCATAGAAAAGAGAAGTTGACTGATGGCACAGATAATCAAAAAAATTGATTCATGGCATTTAATAGACAAATTGTTTTGTTTCCTCAAATATATATAATAAATATTATATTAATTGTGAATGCTTATGGATTTTCATTTACAGTTAACGGAAATATTGCAATTTAAATATCAAATGCTCCTACATGAATAATATATATATCGTATATATATATAATTTATCGTAATTTCGCTGTTTACTATGTTTCTTTATGAAACAACTTTTTATAAAGAATATAGTTTTAGATTATGGTTGTCTACTAAGTTGCATTTGCTTGCGGTTTTATTAATCATACAAATATTTATAGTTCTGTCCTATATGAAAGTGATATTTTAATTACAAACATGATAAATGTAGATGCTATTGCTATTTGTAAAAATAAAACAGACATACAACAAATTACAAAAACCCAAAAATTACAAAGCAAATATAAGATCTTTCAGCATGCAAAGGCTGCACTGATTACAGACTCAGTTTTTATATCTTGTCATTGTTTAATTATTTGTAAATTTAACTAAACTTGACTAAATACCAAAGTCTTCTTCTATATAATAAGTAATATCAATATTTGTGTGTTACCTGTATAAATTGCCATTTTATTCATTCGAAAAAAAATCATGCAACAAGTGTTTTATGGCAGTGAAAACTTTCAGTATAGTTTAAAGAAACATATCTGATTGCTAAGAAGTTCACTATCATTTGTGTTAGAAGTTTATTACTATAGATTGCAGTTGTCATACAATGTGGCAAAACCTTTCCGTTTTTACTGAGTGCTTACTAAATCTCTGAAGAGATCACATAATCCACATCACGGTAGGATTTTTGTTTTTTTTTCTTGCATGTTGTAATGTTTATATTATTTAGATTACTTAGTACTAAACTGGGCACAATACTTTTTTAATAATAAATAAATGCATTAACCCTTAATTGCATGATTTTATGCATGATTTTATTTTTAGACCGAGAAAAAATATATTTTGGAGCCATGAATATGCTGATTTAGGGAAAAATAATAAAAAAATACTTTTTTTTTATTTTCATAGCTATTTTTATTAAAAACCATTTGTTGCAGAACTACAACATTATGCACTCACTAGACAATAACTACATTTATGGTCGTTTGAATGGTATGTTGCAGTTTTACTACTTTATGCATTTAAGGGTTAAACTTATTTTTATGGTTTAAGATCATCATAGTATGCACCATAATTAATTACTTTAATGTGCTATTTCATGATAACGAATTTCCGATTATACAAAGTATATATCTGAATCTCGGATGACAATGCCGTATGCATGTAGATAGTGTGAACACTTCAACATTACGGTGCCGAAGGTAACGGTATCGGACGGCGGGGGGCGGGGGCAAGGGGCCGTGCGGCGGGCGCGGTGCACACGCCACCGGCCCGTTCTATTTAGACTGCAGGTTGCAGTTACGTTTCTAAACCAGAACTTTCGGATCGTGATTGTCTTCGATTCAATATAAAATTCTTGCATTTTATTGTTTCTTACAAGTTGGCTGCAATATATTTTATGCACTTAATTATAATTAGAAATTTAAAAATTTTTGTATTGCAAATCACGTAAACAAAAAAATACACGTACTGATCTTTGGTGCGAAACTGAAAATTATTTGAAAAAGGTCAATGGAATATTAATTTAACCTAATTTATGAGATATGTTTATTTGTGAAGACCAATACAGAAATATTGAAAATCTTTAAACAGGTTTACACCTGACAGTATCTTCAGTAAGGACGCTTTGTAGGCTCTTATCAGATAAATTATGTGCGTGCCAATTCGTAATACTGGTATCATCCGGCTTTAGACCAATAATGGATGCTTCCCTCACTTGCTTAATTTTTATTGATCATTGCACATTAATACGCTAGATGGACGTTATTCGTGCTTTGGTTCCTTCTGCCCAGGTTTATCAAGTCGCCAAACCTAATAGCCGGACACACAAGCCAGTTTGGTCGAACATTTGGCTAAAACATACGACCGTCAGTTGTTGACACTAGTCGCCTGCTTTCCGCCACTGTCATTTGCGAAATGTAAAAACCCTAACAAAAGCCGGTATTATCCGGACCTGGCAACACTACTTCTGTGCGTCGTGGTTACAACCCTCCGAGAAATGCAATGTTGTTTGTTTGCAAAAACAAATTAAAAAGGTGCTTGAGATATTGAATCGAAAAGAGTAATAAAGATATTCCATATAACATGTAACTCTTTTCTCGGGCAGATCAAAATAAGTATGAATGGCTACACCTAAAACGTATGACGATTTTGATGCTAATAAGATTTATATTCACATTTTATGTTGCTAAGTATATACACAAATTCACACTTGCCGCCAGGTATTTGTGTACCTGATAAGAACGTGTTTGTCATCAATAGTCGCCAGTAGTTCGTTGTACTTACGTGACAAATACCTTTGATAAACACAGTTTATCACGTCACATCATTACGTTTATAACTATTGCTCGTCAGCGTCAGTGACGTCATGTGTTGCTTGTTCTTACCTTCACGTGACTCGCGAGAATTTTGTGTGAAGGAATTTTGCATGGACTAGTTTCAACTATTGTATCACCTTGATACTTTACATTTAAACATTGATCTAAAATAAGTAAAAACAATACATTCAACTGGTTGTCCTGATGATCGTAACGTCTAATGGTGCAATAAAAAACTTGAGGCTTTTATCGTAATAAAGTACTGTCGAAATGGAAATTTCCACCAATTGACAAGTTTTAGAAATTGTTTTATAAGTAAACGTTTTTTTTAGTGTACGAGGAAGCCGGCTTCGTTTTGTAGGTTCGTAACCGACCGCCTAAGTTTTAATGTTCTTCTTAAGGCTTCTTACATGCAACAAAGAGCTGCGTAGAACTTTTTCTTTACCATTTGAAAATGTTGCACGACATTTAAAGGTGTTACTATTGGCAGTGACTACTACGAATTATTATATAAAAAACAATGGCTAACCAGCTTGACAGGGAGCAATGATTTTAACAACTATGTTATCTTGCTTATGTCTGTTTCATTGTGCTAAATGGTTTGAACACCTTATATTGAAGAGTGATATCTTAATCTTCGGATGTATGATTTTAAAAATTATCATATTATAATAACATCGTTATGTAACAAATTCATTATAGATAAATAATCCTATTAGTGTAAAGTAAGAAGAGAATACAGATGCTTTCCCGAGTTACCACAAATGGTAACTAGTTAGACGGATTATAAACCACTGTGAGAGTTGAAATTATAATACTATCCGTAACTAAGTATATCTGATGTCGCGGTGAAAGTAGTAAATCGTGGAATACGGATAAGATCTTTTGCCTAATATGTCGCGTGTGCTCCGCTTAGAATGCTACTTGCAAACGCTAAGAATACGCTTTAAGAAAATACGGATCGTTACACCCTCATCTTGTTTTGTTATTTATTCATAATTAAAATAAAGATTTAAATTAAATCGTATAATATAATTGTTTGAATATTTGGAAAAGTGCGCAAGAGCATGTGTGAAGCTTTTTCAACTGGGCAACATGGCTGTAAAGTTCATAATGATAACACATGGCACTTTGTAAGTTCTTAACATCTACTTCAAATGTGTAACTAATTTGGAACTTGCAAGTTTGATTTTTATTTACTTATGATGTGATAAAGGTCAACGACAAATATTAAAAACTTTTAATTGAGCTTATATTAACAGCCTTTGTAGCTCTTTGTTGAACATTTTTGCGGTAATGAAAGTCTCATAATTGAGATCACGTGTTCGATTTTTGAAGATAGCCATCAAGAAAGCGGGTGGGGACACAGCGGCGTGGAGTCAGTGACATAGCGTGACATAGAATCCGGGACTTATCGACGGTTGTTTGCGTAGAGCGACAGCGCGCCTGGTCAATGAACTAAACAAAAACACCTACGACTTTAGTGTACATTGCGCGGTGCGACGTGTGTCAGTGAACGCGTTCATACTCACTAGTTAATGGAACACTATACACCTTGCTCGGTGACTATCGTATCACTTTTTTTTTCTTTTCACACCTTACTATACTGTAAAGCCCTAGAGCGTATCGTTCGCGCTGGTAAAGATAGGCGCTTACACCGATATTAGCAATTTAAATTTATTTAATTCGATCACAAGTCACAACTTCGATAGATAAATGATTTAGTTTATTATAGTCAGTGACTTTCGTATTACGGTCAAAATATATTCTTTCCGTTATTTTTAGTTGGTATTTTCATAATTTAATTATTATTTAGTTGTCTGATTAAGTCAAAGGATATAAAACGGTTAAAAGTTACTATTTATAGACGAGAGTTTTAATAACGTCTTTCTTAACTTTTAAACTTACAAAGTCTTTTAAATCCATTGAACAATAACAAGCAATAAATTAATTTAATCCGGGATTTGCTATTTATAGAGGACCATTTACATAACTATTAATTGACTTTTCGATCGCTAAAATTCTAAACTTAGGGCAATTGATCCTTAAATAAGGCGGATGACCTAAGTTCACCGGGAATCGATTAATGCAAATATGCCGCAATTTATGTGTCTATCGAACCGCTCTGTATTAAACAGTCTAATAAAGCGATGTCATACGCTTTGCCTAGCGCTTTGCGCTGCTAGTACTTATAGATGTTGTCCCTTTATTTTATT